GAGTAGAGTGAGGAAGTCGGCCGTACTCAAGAGTTGGTAGGCTTCAAACTGCCACTGCGGGTTTCGGTGGCAGGGGGTCCCAAGAGAGGCATCAAAAGAATCAGTGGGTTGCCCCCTAGGTAGGTATCAACTCGGCTTGAAGTTCCCAGTTCGGTAACCCGAGATATCACCAGAAATTTTGTAAGGCAGGAGCCCATACAAAACACGTCTGGTTAGTCCAAGAGTTAGGCACCGCCCCCCCCCCCTTAATGTGCTTCTTCTTGAGCCACTCCTTTGTTGCCTTGGCTCTGTGTTTTGGGTCATTGTCATGCTGGAGTACCCATTCACGACCCATTTTCAATGCCCTGGCTGAGGGAAGGAGGTCCTCTCCCAAGATTTGACGGTACATGGCCCCGTCCATTGTCCATTGTCCCTTTTGGTGTGGTGCAGTTGTCCTGTTCCCATAGCAGAAAAACACCCCAAAGCATAATGTTTCCATCTCCATGTTTGATGTGGGGATGGTGTTCTTGGGGTGTTCTCCAAACATGGCGAGTTGAGTTGATGCCAAAGAGCTCGATTTTGGTCTCATCTGACCACAACACTTTCACCCAGTTCTCCTTTGAATCATTCAGATGTTCATTCAGATGGGCCTGTACATGTGCTTTCTTGAGCAAGGGGACCTTGCGGCGCAGCAGGATTTCAATCCTTCACGGCGTGGTGTGTTACCAATTGTTTTATTGGTGACTATGGTCCCAGCTGCCTTGAGATCATGAACAAGATCTTCCCTTGTAGTTCTGGGCTGATTCATCACCTCATGATCATTTAAACCCCACGAGGTAAGATCTTGCATGGAGCACCAGACCAATGGAGACTGACAGTGTCACGTATTCATCCGCACATAAAAATGTGGTTAATGGCATTTACTGTCCTGACAGGAAAGGTTGTGCCGAACAACATTACCGTCCTGACAGGAAAAGTTGTGCCAAGCAGCAATCATGCAAACCTGGTAATTACTTTTGGGGTCAAAGGTAATGTGCATGGCCAATCAAATCCACAGGTGAGTTTGTGCTGAGCAGCAATCATGTACACCTGGTAATTGCCTTTGAGGTCAAAGGCCGGTTACAGCCTATGGTTTCATGCCTATGGTTATCCGAGAGTGCGTCCCTGATCTAGATTTTCTGATATTTGACTTTGGCTTTGTTTTGACTTCCCTGATATCTGGTATCCTTGACTTCTGGTTTTCCCTCATCTTTGTGTCTGATTCTGTGTCCCTGACCCCTGCAATTATTTTAACTATTCTTGGAGACGATAAGTCCAGCCATTCTAAGGTCCGGTTATACGTTGTCGTAGGTGTGACACAGTACTGCGTGCTGGATCAACTTGTAATCCTGACATTACGACAGGGCCATAGATCCTGCAGAATTCTGTCAGCACATAGCAGCTTGTGAGAGGAGAATGATCACCGTATGGATCAATTTGCCCAGGCTTTTAGCATGCTACTTACTAGGACGGCTCATTTACAACCTGAGGCTTCTCAAATTATGTCACCACTGCCTAATGTACCTCCACCTATAGTATATAAGGCACCTACTATCTCCTTATCTCCACCCCTGCATTTTTCTGGTAAAATCCAGGAATGTAGGGGATTTCTCAATCAGATTGAGTACCACTTTAAGGCCTCACTTGGTTAATTTCCTTCAGATAGAGCTAAAATTGGGTATCTGATGAACCGACTTAAAGGTAAGGCCTTAACCTGGGCTAATCTATTGTGGGAAAGTAATAGTAGTATCGCTCATTGTTACCAGAAATTACCATTAGGCAGAGAGGAAGACACCTCCACTGCCCTAATGCATATCAAACAAGGGAACCAGTCTATCTCGGATTATGCCATAGAATTTCGTACCTTGGCATCTGAGATAGACTGGACTAACAACTGATTAATCGCTGCTTTTAAAAAAGGATTATCCAAAGTAATACTTGATGAAATTGCTGCCAAAGACCTACCTAAAGGGTTAAATGACTTTATTACCTATGTGATGCAGATTGATAATAGACTCAGGACCAGGGAAATTAGTAGAAACAGAACTAGACGTTTGACTATGTCACCAGCACCTCGATTCTCCAAACCTGTTGTTGCTGGCCTCTTGACGCTGTCTGAACCTGAACCTATGCAGGGGTTAGGGGTTACAGGACTGTTTGAGGCAGAGAAACAGTATAGGAGAAGAGCGGGTCTGTGCTTATATTGTGGCAAGAAAGGGCATATGAGAGATGCTTGTCCTATTCATCAGGAAAACTTCAGCACTTAAGAACCTTAAGGGGACAGGTCTTAGGTGTAATGGATACGTCCTCTATTAACTCCCGAAGCAGATTTCTCCTTGTTATTTCTGTCTTTTGCAATGAGGAGAACTTTTCATGCAAAGCCCTGGTTGACTTAGGTGCGGCTGGTAACTTTATTGGTTTTATTTTGTTAAAAAACACACCATACTAGTCAAGGAGAGATCATCACCTCTAGCGGTTGAGGCTATTGAAGGGAGGCCCCTATCTCAACCTTTTATTACCCATGAGACCTTGCCTATTTGCATTACAATAGGAGCTTTGCATAAGGAAGACATTACTTTCCAGATAATCGCTTCCCCTTCTTGTCCCATCATATTAGGGTTCCCTAGGCTCACCAAGCATAACCCTCATATTGACTGGACTAGAGGGAAATACTGGAATGGGGTAGAGACTGTCAGGAAAGCTGCATGTTACCCATTTCTAAAAAAGTGGGCATCGTTGCTTTACCTGCTGCTACGTCTCCGACTCCCGAAATTCCAATATAGTATTGAGAGATTAGAGAGGCGTTTAGTAAAAGCCAGACTTATACTCTTCCTCCACACAGATCTTATGATTGTTCCATTGATCTGTTGCCCGAGGCTATGCCTCCTAAAGGAGCCGTTTATGCCCTATCCCCACAAGAAAGTAAAATCATGGATGAGTACATCAAGGAATCTTTAAGTAAAGGCCATATACGTAAATCATCCTCGTCTGTTGGTGCAGGGTCCTTTTTTGTAGCTAAGAAAGATGGAGAATTACAACCTTGCATAGACTACAGGGCATTAAACAAGATTACTATCAAAAATGCCTATTCCATTCCCCTTATATCCGAATTGTTTGATAGACTCCAGGGTGCTAAGATCTTCACTAAGCTTGACCTTAGGAGCGCGTACAATTTGGTGAGAATTAGGGAGGATCATGAATGGAAGACAGCATTTAACACTAGGAGTGGGCACTATGAATATCTTGTTCGATGTAACTATTTGCATTTACCTCCTTAAAATGATTTTTAGTATGGATCTTCGACTCTGAGATAAAAATTTCTAAGTCTAAAAAATTAATATGATTGGTGCTGTATGTAGATGTTAAAATAATTCCCCAATCGTTGTTGTTAAAAAAATCTAAAAATCATTTCAGACTGTCTTCTTCATCTTATCTTTCCATATTAAAATATATTTTTTATATGGAAAGATGGAGAAGAGAGTCTAAAATGTTTTTTAGATTTTTTTTTAAACTATAACGATTGGGGGATTATTTTAACATCAACATACAGCACCATTCATATTAAATAAATTTAACCCTACCTGATTTCTGCAAATAATTTCTGGGAGACAGAAGCAGTAAATAGGATAGGGAGGTTCGTGAATTCTGACCTCCCTATTCAAAGACTGTGACACCAGGCAGACACCAGTGGTGTCTTGGGGCTTGAACCTAATGAATAGAACAAAAGTTATAACAATCCACTTGCCAGAGTACAAACTCTGCCAGTGGATGTCAACTGGAAAATTATCTTAAAGGAATAATTACAAAATTACAATGGTATTCAAATGTGTATCTTGACCCATAAATTGATCAAAGAAATGAAAGGTCAAAAGAAGTTATCCAAAGCCAAATGGCTAACTCTCTATTTACTCTAATTAAAATACTCCCTATTTGCCTCTTTTTTCTCTTCGAAGTCTAGATCATTATCAGAATAGTGGAGTTTTCTATACTGTCTAGTTAGCTCACACTTACCTCTTTAGATTTGTGGACCGGCTCAAGATAGAGCATTATAGAAATGCGGAAGCACCTCTCACTATACCCTTAACAACCATAGACTGCAAACTAATATTTAAGCAAGTCCAAAGGTTGATATACAGGGCTGCCTTATGAACAACAGCAACATTATTGCAATATCACTTCACAGAGCAATTACAGTGTTGCATTTGGCTTTGTTATTATTAGGACTAAGCATTTATTTATTTTTCCTTATCTCTTCCAATCTCTCTATTCTAATATTTATTACCTAGACCCCTTTACTCACCTATATACTAAGATCCTATTCCAGTTATAGACCATATCTATTAAAGTCTGAACTCTGGTAAATAGGAAGTATTTTAATTAGAGTAAATAGAGGTTTAGCCATTTGGCTTTGGATAACTTCTTTTGACCTTTCATTTCTTTGATCAATTTATGGGTCAAGATACACATTTGAATACCATTGTAATTTTGTAATTATTTATTTTAAGATCATTTTCCACTGGAAGAGTTTGTACTCTGGCAAGTGGATTGTTATAACTTTTGTTTTAATTTCTGGGAGAACATTGGAATACCTCCAGACATCCGGATTATCTGCATGGGGATTTGGATCACCCAAAAAGATCCTAAGGATATCCACAGCAGAGCCAGGTCTAGTATATGGCTCTACTCTTGTGAGTGTGTTTCTTTAAAAACAGAATATATATATATATATATACAGGGCCGGCGCGTCCATAAGGCGGCACAGGCGGCCGCCTTAGGGCGCACCGGCCCGGGGGCGCAAATGTCCGGGTGGCCGGCAGGAGAGAAGCGCACAGCTCCCCTCTCCTGCCGGTCTCTTCTTGTAGCGTGGCCGAGCGCCAACCTGCAGTGCCGCGGACTGTGTGGAGGGGGCGGGGATATGAACGTCATATCCCTGCTCCCTCTGTAGCACACAGTGCGGCTGGTGCCCAGCAGGGGCGGAGCTACGGGCCCCCATCTAATCAGCATGGGAGGAAGTCCTCCCAAGAAGACTACAGCAGCAAAAGGCAGAGAGGAGGGGGCTGGGCAGGACCAGCTCCTCCAACTCCCAACTACTTCAGGCAGCACTTTGGATCCCAGGTAAGCCCCCCTTCTGAACCTGTTGGTCAGTGTGTGTGTGTGTGTATCTATGTCTGTCAGTGTGTGTGTGTGTGTATCTATGTCTGTCAGTGTGTGTGTGTGTATGTCTGTCAGTGTGTGTGTGTGTATGTCTGTCAGTGTGTCTGTGTGTATCTGTGTCTGTCAGTGTGTGTATCTGTGTCTGTCAGTGTGTGTATCTGTGTCTGTCAGCATGTGTATGTGTATGTCTGTCAGCGTGTCTGTGTGTATGTCTGTCAGTGTGTGTGTGTGTGTATGTCTGTCAGTGTGTGTGTATGTCTGTCAGTGTGTGTGTGTGTATCTATGTCTGTCAGTGTGTGTGTATGTCTGTCAGTGTGTGTGTGTGTATGTCTGTCAGTGTGTCTGTCAGTGTGTATCTATGTCTGTCAGTGTGTATCTGTCAGTGTGTGTGTATGTCTGTCAGTGTGTGTGTGTATCTATCTCTGTCAGTGTGTGTGTGTGTATCCATGTCTGTCAGTGTGTGTGTGTGTATGTCTGTCTGTGTGTGTGTGTCTGTGTGTGTCTGTGTGTGTGTGTGTGTGTGTGTCTGTGTGTGTGTGTGTGTGTGTGTGTGTGTGTGTGTGTGTGTGTGTGTGTGTGTATCTATGTCTGTCAGTGTGTGTGTGTGCATCCATGTCTGTCAGTGTGTGTATGTATATGTCTCTGTCCATGTGTCTGTGTGTATCTAAATGTCTGTTAGTGTGTGTGTCTGTCTGTTAGTGTGTCTTTGTGTGTCTTCTTCCCTATCATTGTGTATGTGTGTCTGTATGTCACTGTGTGTTTATCTGTATGTCTGTCAGTGTTTGTGTGTACCTGTGTGTCTATCTGAATGGGTATCAGTTTGTGTATATGTATATCTGCATGTGTCAGTGTGTGTATCTTTGTGTATGTGTATCACAGTGTGTGCATGTGTGGCAGTGTATGTGTATATGTGCATATATCTCAGCATTCAAACACAACACTACACACAAATAAACACCTGCATGCAAACGTCAACACTACATACAAACACACCTCTGTATCAGACACCAAAATTATATATAAACACACACCTACGTTCAAAAACCAACACTACACATAAATGCATGCTTGCATTCAAATGCAAACACTACATACAAACACACTGCTACAATCATACAAACATACTCCATACAAACACATGCTTACAGTCAAACACACAAATACTGCTCCATGCTAAATACAATCCTGCAAGCATGGGGAATCGGTAGAGCCCCAGCTTTCAAAGCATCGTTGAAGTTGCACGACAGATGGGGATCTATCTTTTAGCCATCCTGTGTACATACACAGACCGTCATACAGAGACACACAGTATGTATGTCTCTGTATGACTGTGTGAATATATTCAAAAGGAATAAACGCAGGCAACACTCCAATAGTAAGGATGGTATATTTATTGATAGGTGAACCACCCCAAAGAAAGGGCGTCGTTTCGGCTCAGCAGAGCCTTATTACATGAGCTGAAACATCACACTTTCTATGGGGTGGTTCACCTACCAATAAATATACCATCCTTACTATTGGAGTGTTGCCTGCGTTTATTCCTTTTGAAGACTTTACTGGTGGATCCAGCAATGTCTGCCTGACACGGAGCATCCACCTCTGTTGATGGCCGGAGCATTTACACGGTATCAGTGTGCAGGGTTCTTTGTTTGTTTGTCTGTGTATGTATGTCTCTGTATGCCTATCTCTGTTTCTTTATGTCTGTGTATGTATTTCTGTGAGTGCCTGTGTCTTTATGAATGTATGTCTGTGTTTGTACGACAATGTACCTATATGTGTAGATTGTATGACTGTGTTTGTTTGTGTGCCTTTTATGACTGTGTGTCTGTATATCTTTGTGACTGTGTGCCTGAAAAATTATGTCTGTGTGCTTGTATGGTTGTGTGTCTGTATGTTTGTGTATTTGTGCATGTATGTATTTTTGCCTGTATCTATGTCTATGTGGGAGAAAAAGAGAGATAGATAGGGGCTGGCGGGGAAGTAAGAAATACATAAGAGGGGTTGTAGGAGACACACTAAAGGGATATGCAACACTAATGGGGGTAAGAAATTCAAAAGGGGGCTACGAGACACAGAGGTGAAGATGCATTGTTTATTTTTGGGGGGGGGGGGCGTCAAAATGCATCTTCGCCTGTGTAGTCAAAAATCCTAGCACCGGCCCTGTATATATATATATATATATATATATATGTTTTAAAGATATCTGCATGTTTATATACCTCTCTATCTTTAAAGCATTGCTAGATACATTAAGAAGAGAGGAAAGTATATTATTTGCTCCACCTAATTTGTTTGTGTTACATATGATTTAAGGTGTAGGTGTAGGGGATACCGCACAGCTGTTTTGAGCTTTCATCACTATTGGATATACCACTTGTGTTTGTCTTTTATAACAACTTAACTTATTTTATGGGTGCTAAAAAGTACATTAGTGGGGTGCACTTCATATCTGAGAGTCAAATAGAAGCGTCAAATACTGCTGTCACATTGCAGTTTTAAAACTTAAAATTATTTGGGTGCTAAACTGCTAGATAGTATTTTAGTGGGGTACACTTCATATCTGAGAGTCAAATTGAAGCATCTAATAGTGTGCTTACATCGCAGTGGTAAACATTCTTATTTTCTGGGTGTTAATCTGCTAAATAGTACATTTTGGGGCCTGCTCTTCATATCTACAAGTCATGCTACAAAAAAATTAAACAAGTTTTTTAAAATATGTATGGGCCAACCAGTGGCTGTAAACAAGTTTTACTGGTTACATTCATGACCACACACTCTAGTGAACAGGACCTTCATGTAGTGTGTTCTTTTTTTTTTTATCATACAGCATCCTTTCATGTACTTTTCAGATGTCATATTGTGAATTACCAATATTTGTGTACCCTTTTTATTTTTTAAAAAAAGTGAAAATAAGTTTATTGTGATCGCTTCATGTACAGAAGCATTGATATACATTTCTATATTGTGTAAAGACACAACTACAAAGTTAAAAACCAAACACCAAAACAACGTGCTAGACAATTTACCTGTGCATGGCTAGTGTGATACAATAAGTCTACATCTTAAAAATGCAATAACCCACCGAAGATGGGCAGAATTTTTTTGCAAATTGAACTTTTATTCGAATTTACTACATCGGTCACTTGTAATATTGTTTCACACCTACAACACTTGTTACACAGATCTAAGTGATAGAAAACAGATATTTTCTACACTAGAAACTACCAGATAACAAGCTGCTATATTTAAACCAGTGATCAATAGCTAAGAGGCATTTCAACAATATTGTAATTCTGGGGCAATACCCTCACAAGTCAAACTGAGAGGTCAGTTTATAGGGATACTGTTGCCTGGATACAATTCTAAAACAATTTCCATATGTCCTTTGCAGACTTTACATGCTGGATAAACACATGTGCCAACTGCTGTGGCTTTCTGCAGTGTGCATACCGGCAAGGAGGGCAGGATTGAGGAGTGGCTGGAAGATGATGTGGAGGATGATGAGGTCCTAGACCCCACATGGAATCAAGGTCATGCGAGTGACGTGTGCAGTTTGGATGAAGAGGTGCTGGTCGCACAGAGGCACCAGCACAGCATAAGAGGGAGCAGGGTGCAAAAGCGGAGCTGCCATCCCCTAGCGCTCATCGGCATGTATTAGCTCGAGAATTACCAGCTATCCAAGTAATACATGTAGCGATCAAAGGATCCATAATAGACTTGAGCAAACCCTAACTGCAAAGTTCGGGTTCATACCAGATTTAACGATCCATTCGTAGTTTCACAATGAGGTGGGCAGTCCGGTGACCAGGAGCAAGACACTGTCAGGATGTGACATTCACTGTAGCGGCTGTGCGCGCTTTTGGCATTGTCACCCTGCTGCTGCTCGCCTGTCTGCACTGCAGCCTAACTTCGGCCTTCCCACTCACTGCCTCATGAGACTTTGCAAGCAGCAGCAGGCTATAGTGGAGTTTCAGCTGCAGCACGCATAGGTCAGTGGCTCTGCACCAGACTTCCCTCCAATTGATAAGAGTTAAAGGATTTCAAGTGGACTCATTACAATTATAGGGCCTCTAACGAGTCCTGTATTGTTATTTGTCGTCACTACCTTCCCGCGTCGGGAGTGGGTCATTTGCGCGCCTACTGCCTTCCTTGCATGTAGTAGTCGTTTCTCAGGGTCCCTTTATGGAATGGAAACCAATTTCCCCGTTACCCGTGGTCACCATGGTAGGTGCAGAAACTGTCATCGAAAGTTGATATGGATGACATCTGCATGCAAAGTCGCCACCATGGGGGATGTGCGATTTGCCTGAGGTTCTCTAGAGTCAACAAAGTTCCTGCGCAACTATAATGTCAACAGCTACTCTGCGGAACAGAGTTGTCTTTTTTTATATGTCCCAATATTTTGGGGGTTACCCCAATTAATATATATATATATATTGTGATAAATTGATATATTGTGATAAAGTGAAGGCAGAAAGGCCTTTAACATTTAACCCCAGGGGAAGTACGTGTTGTATGTGTGGGGTGCAACACAAAGCTACGTTTAGTTAAGGGCCCCTGGGGTGGAGCATTTGGAGAGCAGGGTGGGCCAATGCTCCACTCCTCAGTTTATACACAACTGGGTGAAATAAGGTCCAGGCCAGAGTTCTTTTGGAACTGTCTCCAACCCACTGCTCAGCTGCAGATAATCAGCTGTAGCAGTGGGAATAAACCCCTCCCTGCTAGGCAAGTAAAGGGGGATTGCTGGCTTCCTCCCTGGAAGCAGGTAGGAGAGAGGCTGTTCTCTCCAGTGAGAGAGTCAAGGAGATTGAGCACTGGGAGTACAGAAAGGAAAGCAGTTAAGGCTGGCTTGGAGCACTGGGAGTGCAGAAAGGAAAGCAGTTAAGGCTTGCTTGGAGCACTGGGAGTGTAGAAAGGAAAGCAGAGAGCTGACAAAGACACTAGGTTGGTGAAACCAATATTGTTTTGTTCTAGTTTAACCCCTGAGAGATAGGGAACCTGAAGTTAGTAAGTGCTCAGACGAGCTAGGTTTTTGGTTATAGGGATTTGTGTTATATTTATGTTTTCATTTGCTGCTGTCTCCTGTGTGGACTTACAAATAAAGTGCCTGGATTATATGCAAATAAAAGGACTGTGCCTGTTGTTTACCCTAGAGAACCGTGCTACCTGTAGACAAGGATCACAATATATATATATATATATATATATATATATATATATATAAAAACAGTGTTGGCTACCTCATCCTCCTCCTCCACCGCCACGGTCACCGCCTCCTCAACCTATGGATCACTTAGTATAAACTAGGTACACATTAGCAGAGGCTTGTGAAGGCCTTTTCTCCATGCATCAGGAGTTGAGCATTTCTCCATGCATCAGGACTGTAATAAATGCATTGCAGGCCGCAAATGTTTCTTTATTTGTATGTCCCAATATTTTGTTCGCTACCACAATTAAAAAAAACAACAAAAAAACACCCAGAAAATACAGTGTTGGCTACCTCATCCTCCTCCTCCACCGCCATGGTCACAACCTCCTCAACCTATGGGTCACATAGTATAAACTAGGTACACATTAGCAGAGGCTTGTGAAGGCCTTTTCTCCATGCATCAGGAGTTGAGCTAAGTTTGAGCAATGAAAGAGAATACCCTGCACTCCAACCCTCTCTCAAATTATTCACATCCTGGATAATTCTGTTGATCCCCCTGAAAGCCATGCTTTAGATTTTGATTTATGTTCTTCCAAAGCTAAAATCAAAGATTCCATCTAATGCTATTTTATGTCTCAGCTGTATTTTTAATTTTTATGCTATTTTAAGTGATTTCCCTATCCACATTTGTTTGCAGGGCACTTGTCCTACTCTTACCCCCATTTTACTTCCTTTTGCAGCTCTCTAGCCCTTTCCAGGAGTTTTTTAGAGGCATTTTTGTGGCCAAAAGTTTGGTTCCCCGTTGACTTCAATGGGGTTCAGGTTTGGGGTCAAGTTTGAGCCCGAACCCAGACTTTTTTACAAAGTTCGTCCGGACCGAACATCCAGGTGTCTGCTCAACTCTAATAAAAACCTAATGGAAAGAGTGAAGAAACATAGTTCTTTTTGTAAAGTATTTATACACAAAAAATAATAAATAATGAGGGATACATGTAAAATTGGGGATACACATAAAATTAGTACAAAATTTGTAGGGGAATAATGTTTTTAAAGATGTAGTGGGAATGTATAGGAAATGGCATAATCCAAAATCAGTATTTAAACCTTGGGGTTGCATAGTCCCAAGGTTAAATATCCATCTCATTTCATTTTGACCTAAAATCTTATTAAAATCTCCCCCTTGCCAATTGCCTAAAACCTTGTGAATACCTAAAAATTGTAATCCCTGAAGTACTGAGTTGTGAGTAAGGCAAGTCCCTGCAGCAGTTGGTTTCATTCAGCCGATGCCCATCCTGGAGGCCTGAGATGTGAGCCTGGAGTGAAGCTGCAGTTTAATCTGGATGCTTGAACAATGTAAGCACATGATGCCATCTCCCAGTTCCCAGAAAGTGGTGCGAGGCTGAAGGCTACCCTCAGAGGTGCCAGCTCATTGCGGTTCACTTGCCCCTCGGGTTGGTTTGGCATGTCAGGTATCTCCTATTTCTGCCCAATCTCTGAATGGGTCTAGGCAGATTTGCCCCCGAGACTCCTCCTGAGTTGCCACATGGTAAAGACTGATATGTGTATTTTTCACTGAGAGGAAATATGGCATTTTAGCTGTGTAATGCATGTTAATAGGAGGTTAAATCGACAAACAGTTTTTAGATAAACTTTCATATATCATTCTAGCAATACAAAATAATTTAATCAGTAGAGCAATGTCCGTCCGCAAATCAATTAAAAACAGTTTAACCAATTAAATCTGCCCAATAAAGTTACAAAATCTACTGAGAGTACTTGTAACTGACTGGACAATTTTTCAGAACTCTGGAGTGTATTCAGTCAAAGAACATCTTAATTCGGACTCCAAGTTAACATCACTTAACGTGGCTTTTAGCTTGGGTTTGAGCAGCTTCATAAATGAGAATGTGCCAGAGAGCCAAGTCGATCCAAACATTGCCCAAACTTTGGCAACATAGGTAAACATATTTGGATATTTTTCAAATTTATATATCTGTCTCCAAAAGTCTAGAGACACTCTGTATTGTTGGTGGGCATAGTTCGGTTCCTCTTGAAATTTTGCCATACTGATATTTTTGTCACTACCTGTATGCAATTCTATTATTGAAGTGCATGGACTAATATGCGTTTTTTAATTAAAAGTAGCAAAAAAAAAAAAAAAGCCTGTTTCTACTGGAGATTTTGCAAAATAATATTTACTGCTTTACATTTTAAAACTTTTATTTTTTTCAAATCTTTGCTATTTCTTCAGTAATAATAATTATGCCAATAGATCTTTTTTTAAATTTCTATCTCAGGAGTGAAAAGGCTACATTTTATTGAAGAAAAGAAACAAACCCTTTTTCACTAAAACTTGGTATAGGATACACTCAGATACTACTTTTAAATATTTAATTATTAAAACTTCAGTTTTATATATTACCACATTGTTTATTTTCAATTCGAAGAGGGCTAGAACCCCTCAGTCTGGTGGTAAACCAGTAGAGCAAACAATACTAATGGTTTAGGTGATATGCCCCACCACCTAAACACAAAAGTGAGAGTGCAGTGTTATAAATAATCTTACTTACGCCCTCAATTTATATGGGGTAAACCACACGGAGAAAAAAAATAAAAAATAAAAAAAATATATATATATATATATATATATATACACAAAATAGTGCAATATTGTTGGTAAAATATATAATAAAGCGAGTAGATCTATATATGGTCACACTCACATTTATGAAAGCATTTTTTTTCAATATAGGCTCTAAACACTGGAGACCTTGGGGCCTTTTTAGGTGGCTCCTTAACCTTCTTCTATGGTGATTTTCTTTCTCAGATGAATATAGAAACAGAAAAACACAGCGATCTGGGTGCAGATTGTATAGACCAAATATATAACTATAAGCAAATATGACAAGCAATGCTCACCTTTTCAGGAGACTGTTAGTATAACTGGCTCCCAACTCTGCACACAGTGTCAAATTTTAGAGTGATACTTGTAAGAACCTGGGATTACAAAGCAATAAATGAAAGTAGAGAAAGGGATTTAATAAGGAATATTTATTCCAAAATGCAAGAGGGTTTAAAACAAAGTCTAAAAAATAACACTCAAAATAAAACAATGAATAATAAAGTCCTTTCCTTCTGTGGATGTCCAAGACACGTTTCGCCATTAGGGCTTTTTCAATTGGTGTAGAATTAATCTTCCCGGTTCCGTTTTTAAATGTTTAGTGACTCCTCCTTCACTTTATGTTCTACCTATCACTGGAGAGTCCATCACTGTGAAGTGTTCGTTGGGTGTCTGTGTGTTTAACTTCAAAACCGTAAGTGACGTACAATCGTATTCTGTCCTGTGGAACTACATTACCCATATTGCTCAGGTCAAAATGTCCCGATGTGTCATATCGGATAGGGATCGACCGATTATCGGTTTTACCGATATAATCGGCCGATATTCGGTATTCTCGGCAATATCGGTATCGGCCAATTCAGATACCGATACTGCCGATAATACCTCCTAGGACCGCCGGGCTCATTACAAACCCGGCGGTCCTGGGGGGGCGGAGAGCAAGCGCTTACTCACCTCCCAGCAGCTCCTCCAGCTCCCCAATGCAACTCTCGCGAGACCCGCGGCCTTCCGAGCGTTGCCATGGATCACCATGGCAACGCTCCGCGCGACACGCTGGCCGCGAGAGTTGCATTGGAGGAGCTGCTGGGAGGTGAGTAAGCGCTTGCTCTCCGCCCCCCCAGCTCAGCCAATACCACCAGGGACTGTCATATCCCCCCTCCCTGGCCAGGTAACAAGCAGGGAGGGGGGACAACAAAAATAAATAAGAATTAATTATACATTTTTTTTTAAATAATTTAATAAAAAATGCCCCCTCACACACTGCATTATATACACATACACTACACAAACACACTGTGTATATAATACAGTGTGTGTTTGTATAGTGTGTGTGTGTGTGTGTATACAATGCACACAAATACACTGCATTATATACACACACTATACAAACACACTGTGTATATAATGCAGTGTTTGTGTAGTGTGTTTATATAATGCAGTGTGTGTTTGTGTAGTGTGTTTATATAATGCAGTGTGTTTGTGTAGTGTGTTTATATAATGCAGTGTGTGTTTTGTGTAGTGTGTTTGTGCAGTGTGTGTTTGTGTAGTGTGTATATAATGCAGTGTGTGTGTTTGTGTAGTGTTTATATAATGCAGTGTTTGTGTAGTGTGTTTATATAATGCACACTACACAAACACACTGCATTATATACACACACTCTGCATTATATAAACACACTACATTCACTATACACACACTACACAAATACACACACACTCTGCATTAATTATATAC